GTGGGAGAAAATAAGCTCGGCCTGTTCAAGAAAATAGAAATAGTCTCGACCCAGACTCTCTGTGTGGCACGAGGAGGGTGAAGCTTTCAGGCTGTCACCGTACAGATTTCTGGGGCTGAAGGCGAAGAGTTGCTCTAGTCAGAATTTTCCACCTAATTTTTCATTTTGACAGGAAATATCAGTGTGAAATGGCCTTTTTTTTTTTTTTTCTTTTTTTAAAGGACTGTGCTCAAACCATTCTAGTGAGTCCTTGTGAATGGGGCCAGTGTCAGCTCCCATGCTGCCCACCTGAAAACTGAGGGTCTCACGCAAATTTAGGAGATGAAGTTTCTGCCTCTAACTGATGCTTTTTTTATATATACAAAGTGGAGAACTCCATTGGTGCCACATGAGCATCAATCCTTGATAGCAGGGAAAAGGGCAGCTCATTAGGGCGGTAGACCACCATGGACAAGAAGCCCTTTTATCTCTGCCTGCTTTGCCAGTGCAGAAGACATCAAGATCTCTATGGATGTGCTTAATCTGGGTTAAATTGGGTGGCTGCTGGGTTCCACTGGGCAGGAACAGCCCAAAGCAAGACCAAATCAGGGCCTTGAAGGGGAGGTTTTGATTTGATATTAGGAAAAAGTTCTTCATGGAAGGGGTGGTCAGGCACTGGAACAGGGAAGTGGTGGAGTTACTGTCCCTGGAAGTGTTCAGAAAACAAACAGATGTGGCACTTGAGAACTTCAGTGGTGAAGACCTTGGTGATACTGGGTTGATAGTTGAACCTGATGATTTCAGAGGTCTTTTCCAGCCTTGGCGATTCCATGATTCTATAAAAGAGGAAAACCCAAGACTGGTTGTGATTTTGGGGTGAAATAACCATTTTTGTACTACAGCAAAGTGGTCCAAAGCTTTCAATGGTGATGGGAGACCGGGCTGATACAGCCAAGGGAGCAGCACAACAAATGACAGTGAGAGATTTTTTTTTTTTTTTTTCCTCCACTGCAAAACTCAGGTCCATTTCCAAGCCTGAAAGGAAGTAGGGGATTTAAGTTCTGCATTGCTCCAGGTCTCTTTGGGAAGATAAAGACCTGGAATCCCTGAAGAGTTGTGTTCTGCAAATGTTCACCTCTTAAGTAAGTCCATTCCTACCTGAGTCAGGATTACCTTAAACCCCCCTGGGTAACCATCCCTCTTACCCCTTTAACAGCAGGCGTAGGAGAAAGGACCAGATACTGGTTTTCTGTTGACTCTGCGGGGAGCCTGTAGCTTAAGGAGATGATTAAAACGAAATAAATCCCCTGTGAATTAATTGAAAGGGTCAATGTCTGTAGTTAATCAGTTAAAATTGCCTATGGTTATCCAGCTGTGTCTTTCATGTCAGCTAGAAGATGCTGGTGAGGCAGGAGCCATCTAATAATATGGATTTGTTTGGTGGGGTTTTTGTTTTCCCTCCCCAGTGGCAAGTGGTTTTTCAGTGGACACATGGACAACTCTGCTTTTGACATTTATCCAAGGTCTAGTGTTGCCTCTATTCCTCCTTGCTGTTTTGTTTTGTTTTTTTTTTTTCCCTCATAGTTAGGTGGTGGTTGGAGTAGCTTAATGACACATTTTCAGCACTGATTTTGGTGGTGACAGTTATTAACAGTTTCACGATAAGAAACAGGTGTTCCAGCATGGTCCATCAGGCAGGAGAAGAACAATGCCTCCCCAATGTCATTGTTCATGATGTATTCACTGACTGCTGGCTTTTTTTATTTTTTTTTTTATTTTTTTTTATGAGGGTTTTATTCATCCTCACAGGTAGCGTTTACTGTTTAGTATGCAGGCTTTGGGCAAGCCAGTGGAGTGGAAAACCTTTTAATTTCTTTTTAATGCAAACATGGATCTTGCAAGACCTTGTCAAGCGCTCGGAATGGGCGCAGGCTCTTGCTGATGTCTCTCAGCGTCACCTGGTGGTCCCCTGCAAGAAAACCCTGGGTATTTCCCACGGGATTTGTGGCTCAAGGGACAGGCCCGAGCCTGAAGGGGTTGGGGCGATTCTCCTGGTTTGCAGTGAGGAGCCACGCCTGGGATGGCTGGGGCAGAAAACATCATTAGTGTAATAGGGGCATTGCAACAGCTCCTGGGCTCTGCCACCAATTCCCACATTTTCCCATGGATGGGCAGGAAAGAAACAATGTTTTGAAGCACAGAGCTGTCAAATATCCCAGATAGTTTTTTTCAGGTGGGGTGTGAACGTGGATCCCTTGCCCTTGGTGGGTTTGCTGGTTATTTGGCTTGAGCTGTGAGATTGGCTGGAGGGGCGGCTGCCCTGACGCTTGGATCCCACAGTGTGCTGTGCGGGTCTCACATTCCCTGTCCGTGCTCCCAAGGCTCAGGGGGAAAGAGTAACCCCACTGGCCCTTTCCCCCATGCTGTGCAGAAATTGTTCCCTGAGAGAGCTGCCACCTCCATGATTCAGGGGGGCTGGGTGTCCTGGACACTCGGTAGATGCTGGAGTGGATATTGTTTGGTATCCCTTGAGGGACAGCTTTCTGCATCCTTTGTCTTCCCCAGGGGAACCTCTGTAGGAGATGGGAAGAGACCTCAGAGCTTGGACTGCAGCCTGAGGGATGCAGCAATGGGCATCTTCTCTTCTTCCTCATTCTCTGGGGATGCTCTTGTCCAGCTTTGATTGCAGTGCAGAGTGATGCCTGCCTGGCCTTGCTGGAGCAGCTCTGAGCCTTGAAAACAAGGCTGGGAGAGACCTGCAGCCTCTCACACCTTTATTTTGTACCACAACGTATTGATTTATCCACAGCCTATCTCCTTCCTGTTGATATTTGATATAACAAAGGGGTGGGTCAGCGCAAAGGTGCTTGATAGGTCCCCTCAGTCTCCAGTTCAGCAGTGCTGCCTCCCTCCCCAGTCCTCCTGCTTGGGAGAAAAAGCAGGAAAAAAAAAGAAAAGATTAATTGGTGATAAACAATGTATTTTGTTCCTACCTAAAGGTTGTTGAGTCTCCATAGTCTTCATTCCTCTGGTGACAGGGAGTTCAACGTTAATAGCTCTGTGTTACCCATCACGGTGCTTAAACAGCCTCATCAGGGCCATACTCACCCAATGCATCCCTGCCACAGGCAGGGCTTCCCATTATTGCTTTCTTTCCAAAAATAATAACAATATTAAAAAAAAAAATATTCTGCTCTCCTGCGGTGACTTTTCACAGCAATTTCTCCGAGTGAGACGATTAATGAACATTAGACATCCTTTTTTTTTCTTTTCTTTTTTTTTTTCCTGGGAAAGCAGCAATCAGGAGAGAAGATGTAGTACCCCTTTAAAATCTCCCTGTACATATGTACGTGCACACAGAGCCCCTTCAAGGCTGAGAAGAATTGGAAGCGATAGTTACCAGTATAATATTTAAATGAGTGTTAATTACCATAAACCGTTTGGATTTTAATGTCTCCTTCTGTACAGTATGTAAATCAGGGCTGGAATGGGCTTGTGAGCACTCACTGGGCCTCTGGTGTTGTGGATAAAAGGGATGTTTTCCAGTACTGGGATTCAGCTGCCTAGTTTCCATTGAAGTTAATGGGAGTGATGGGGATGAACTCTGGCCACTCAGGGGAAGGTTTCCCCCCTCATCTCAGAGACAGCCCTGCCCTGAGGACGACTTGTTCTCCTGTCTCATCCCACTCCCTACCCAGAGGCTTCCCGAGGAGGAGGCTGATTAGATGCCCAGACTACTCAGGTTTGGATCTGGATGGAGGGATGTCTCACTGTCAGTGAGATATAGCAGCTCTTGACCATTTTATTGGGTACTAAGGGGTTTTTGTGGGGTTTTAGCGTCCAAACCATGAGCAAGTTAATTCCACTGTGCGTGGTTTGCTGCACCCACATCCACACCCACCCTGCCTCCATCCAGCCTGGCCTGCACCCCGAGCAAAGGGGAAGGGACTGGAGGTCAGCAGATCTTCAGCCACCTTGATACATCCCCAGCCCCCTTGTTGCCCTTCCTCTTTTGCCCTCCTCTCCCTCCGTGGGCACCTACTTTGCCTTGCAAAGTGGCCTCATTATAAACGCATCAACCTCTGCCGGTCTCACACGCTCAGCCCTCATTTAGCCCTCCAAGCTCAATTACATCTCAGGATGTCTTGGGGTAATTAAGTAATATTAGAACGTTTTCTTTTCCCCTTTTTTTTTTTTTTTTTCCTTTTTATCCCCCTCTCCCTAATGCAGCTTTCAAGAGCACCAGCCATCGGCTCTCACCCACCGGAGCCCACTTCTCCGAGCCTCGGAGTTCTCCCCGGTGTGCCTCGCCAGGAAGGAAGGCTAATTACGCTTTCTGGAGGATGTCATTAGTGCCACATCCCCGCTGGGTTCCAGAGGGCTGGCACGCAGCAGGGAGCGCTCCCTTAGGTGTCTCTGAGCCACCACCATGTGCGGTGCCACCGGCGAGGAGCGACCGGGGCTCTGAGGGGCGAAGCAGAGCTGCTCTGGGCTTTGCTGTGAGCTGCCTCGGATGCTTTGCATCCTTCATCTCCCCAGCTCGTCCGTGGTTTACAAATATCAACTGATTAAGCCTCTCAGAGCCCCCCGTGAGATAAGTAATTGCTACTCTAATGATTGGCGTTGTACCTGCTCTCATCTCGAGGCGTCGGAAGGTGCTTCTCGCTGCAAGAGAAATAAGGAGGCAAGTGTTAAGCACTCAAAAAGATAAGCGGTGCTGTCGGATTATCTGGCCATCTCACCTGCTGGCTGGTGGCCAGAAGTCTGGAGCTACCATAACAGGCACCTCTGGCACTGCTTTTGGAGGCTGTGGTCCACGTGCCTCCCTCTTTTAGCTGGGTCAACCCCGGTGAGCTCTACTGACTTCAGTGGAGGCTCCTCAGAGGCTTCCCCAGAGGGAAGACAAACCAGAGTTTGTCTGTTTGGGGAGCCCATTGTTTGCATCACAGGTGGGATGTTGGTTCCCAAGGGAACAAAAAAGGAAATGATGGTCACACATTATTGTCTTTTTTCCTCTCACTAGGTGGTTCCAAGGACAACGTTCTGGTTTCAGTCTACCACAGCTCTCCCGTTCGGCCCAGGGTGAGGTGACCACCAGGCTCCCACAGGTGAGTGCTTCTTTCAGGGGGTACTGGAGGCTTAGAAAAGGAAGCCACTCACAATTTAGAGTAAAAACTGCCATGAAAATTCTCGTTCACATGGTGCTGTGTTGCATTTTGTTGTCCTGGAGAGATGCATTAGCTCTGTCAGGCTGGAACCTGCTACCTCTGTAAGAGGTTGATTATCCCAGGTAGTCCCTACCCCTGTGGGGAGCCTGATGTCCCCTTCTGCCTGCCTGGCTTTTTGGAGCACTTCCATAAGCAGATTAGGGATGAGGATACTTCTGCTGTGGCCCAGCCTCACTGCTGATCCAAGTGGGATAATAAGGTATCCTAATATTGGATGCCTCCTTGACTCTGAATTGTAGGAAGGATACATTGGAGTCCAGGATATCCCACAAGCTTTTTGGTTTTGATTTCTTTTTTTCCACTTGCAAGCAGATTTTTTTTTTCTTCAGCCAAAACAATAAGCAGAGACCAAAAGGAAGTAAAACCTGGCTTTATATCACATAAGGAGGGATTGCAAAACTTTCCTAAAGACTTATGTTGTGGGAAAAGGAAAACCCCTCAAAGGTGGGTGAGGCAGAACTTGGGGAGCTGTCTTTATCCTTGGGCAACTCTGCTACAGCCCCCTGGGTTTTAGGAAAACCTGGATCTGAGAGGCCTCTGGGTGATGAGACTGGGGTGAGCTGGCTCACCTGCTCTCCTCTTCCATCCCCTTGGAGGGATCTCTCACCTCTCTGCACCCACTGTGTGTTGTTTCCTGCCTTGGGTGGAAACCAGGGTGGAATCCTGTTGTCCCTCTCTGCTGAACATGAGGATGGTGCCACCAGGAGCCCCGATGTTCCAGGGCTGTGTGTGGCTGTGCAGGGATGGATGGGCTGACTGGCTTTTCCCTTTTGTGCACTGGTGTGAAATTAAAGGGATTTTGGGGAAAGAAAAAAAAAGAAAAAAGGCTGTACTGGCAAGGCTAAGCTGCCCTGGGAAATGTTGTAGGGAGAAGCTAATTGTCCGAGGTGTGGGAATCCCAGGCTTTCCCACAGACTCTGCCTTTCCAGTTCTGGCCAAACTGCCAGCTCTCTCTCTCTCTCATCTGGAAAGGGAGATGGGTGTTAATAAGGAAGGCTGTGTTGAATTTGGGGGGCAGAAGTAGGATCTGGGCTGTGAGGGAACTGCTGCAGGGATGGACTGGATCAAGCAGTGGGGCCAGTCTGTGCCATAGGAATCAGGGGAGTCTGAAGAGAAACACAGCAAGGAGATTAGTCCAGGAGAAAGGAGGAGGGAGTCACACAGAATCTGGGGGAGGGAGAAGCCTGTCTGGTAGGTGGGAGAGTCCTAAACCAGTTCATTCCTGTGCACTGTGATATTCTGAGGGACCTGCTCTGGCTCTGACCGGTCCCATCTGCGATGAGCTGGCAGGGGTTTCACGCAGACCCAAACTGACATTAAACCCTGTATTTCCTGCTCACTGGTATCTGTGTGATTTGGAAGCTGTCCTGCTGAAGGCAGAGTCCTGGCAGTGCCCAGTAGCAAAGGGGCAGGAGGTAGGAGTTGAAATCCTGTAGCTGATCCAGCCGCTCCGGGCATAATGGTGCTTATCCAAAGGAGTGCTGGGACTCTGCTGTGCACAGCACGTGTTATTTTGGCCACGTGAGCGATAGCCAAATTTTTTAAAGGCTCCTGTAGCCTTTAATCAGCTGCAGGCCAGGGCTGTGCATGTTCCTATGTGTGTCCCATCTGCCCCAGGTCAGGAACCACAGCCCGTGGTGGCTGCAGGGGTCCTGGGGGGTGCTGAGGTTTCCCAGCAGGAGAAGCAGCACCTCATCTAATGCTGAGGCAGGAAAAGTTAGAAGACAAACAAGAAACTTATCTGAGTGTATTTAGACCACTTGAGGTTGCCCACGCTCTAATAACATGTTCTACAGATTACAGAACCTAATAATTACATCTAATAAGTCCAAAATGTGTAATTACCCTGAAGCACTTTGAGCTGGAAGGCAGAAATGAGCATGGTTGTTACACACTCGTTAGGTGATCTTGGCTTTCCCTGCTCCCCCTGCAAAATCCAGGAGCAGCAGAAAGTGTAGCTGCTCTTTTCTCCATCCTCATCAGTGCTGGGTAAAGGGAGGAAGCCAGCTCTTTTCCCTGCTTCCATTTCCCAGACAAACCAGCTCCAAAATCTGGTTTCTTTTCTTTAAGAGAGACGATTCCTGAGCAGATTTTCAGATCCAGAGCGGGAGGCTCTAGAGGGGAGGTTGTGTTTATTTTTTCTTCCCACCACTTTGCTTCCCTTCCTAATTAAAGCAGCTCTTTTGTCAGCCCCTGAATTTCTTTCCACCCTCCAGTTTTCCCAGAGAGGTTTCTTTACATTTTCTGCCTCTAATCAATACCCAATTTATATGCAATAACTTTGTCCAGAGAATAGGGAAGCAGGATCAGCATCTCTCCTGTAATTCTGGTGTGCTGTAGCCACGGACTGAAGGTCAATGCAGGCTTGACTGTGACTGGTTTTTATTGTCTTTGGGCAACTCAGCAGCAAAACGCCAGCTTTGTGAAACCTCCACTCCGTGCAGGAGTGTGGATGGTGCTGTGCAACCTGCCAAGCACACCGTGAAGCTTGGATTCCTTGGCAAAGCTCCCTCTTATGCTCCTGCAACCCTTCCTGGTGGAGGGAGGGGATCCTGCGGGGCATGATGGATATCCTGACAGATGCTATTTTCCCCGATTATATGGATAGTGGGTGCTTTGATAGCAGGTGAAGCTGGTGCCTGCTCAGGGAGTGAGGAGGAGAGTTCCATTAGGTGTCCCCTGGGGATGGCAAGGCAATTCTGGAGAGAGATCCTGGTGCTGAGGGAGCAGGCGTCTCGTTTAACCTGCCCCCCCCCCCCCACCCAGGCTCCTGCTCATCTGTCTCCTGTCACTTGAGATCTTGCTGTCACCTCTTCAGCATCCCTCTGGCTGTGCCATATCCATACAGCTTCCACCGGGAAGGGGACAAAAGGACAGAGAGCAGGAGGGGCAGGAGAAGATGTTAGCAAGGATCCAGGAAGAACTCTCCATCCTCCATGGAACTTTGGGGGATGGATGTCATCCTCTGCATCTGTTCATACCCTAACCCTCCTTCCCATGGGCACTGCCTAGGAAAAGAGGCTGTATCCAATGGGAATGCCCACTTTTGGGCTTCTCACGGTGGTGGGATCAGTCAGGGACGCTCCAGCTGACGCGCTTAACAAGCAGGGAGGTGCAGACTCGCCGTCATCCAGCGTCCTATTAATGACATTTAATGTGTAGGTTGCTTTAGCGTTGATCATTTTAAAACTCCCTGTTGGAAAGGTTACCTGTGTAATTACAGGTGTAAATCTCAGGGACGTTCTTGCCAAAACAAATGGAGCGTCTCACGCTCCTGGCCAGGGATGAACCCACAGGAGCCGTGAAAAGGGTGTGGAATGATGGGCCAGGAAACGTTCACCCAGCGCAGGGCTGGGAAGAGCTGCGCAACTTTGGAGATAAACGAGGCTTTTGGGTGGTTGGGGAGAGCCTTTGCAGTTGTCCCACCTTGTACCAAAAAAGCAGGAGCTGGTGTTGCTCAGGGATGTCCTGAGCACTGTTGGATACAAACTCGGGAAAGCACCACATCCCACTAATGGGAACAGATCAGGCTCAGAGGGTGAGGAGTCATGAGGTGTCTCTTCCTGAAGGGTCTCAGGTGTGGGTGAGGGACCTGTGGATAACCTGTTTAGGAAGCAGATCTTTTGGGAAGTGCTGATAAATGCCCTTGGTTAGCAGCACAAAGCTTCGGTCTCCTCAGTCACCGGCTGAAAAATCTGTGTTATTTTGTTCTGTCAGTGAAGAAGATGCAGATGGACTTGTCTGATTGCTTTTTTCTTTTTTGATATTTGAGGTGTAAAGTCTATCAGAGCATCATTAAGTTCACATGTGCCCTTAGAAACCTGGTTGTTGGGAACTGCTTCTCCTCTGCTGCGAGACACTGAAAAAACAACCTCACACCTTTTCTCCCCTTCAAATTGCAGGTACCTCCTGGTCAGAGCAGGACATGAAGTGATACATTCACCCTTCCTCACATTCCCTCTCTCCTGAAGGCCACATTTATCCACTTCCCCCTTTCTTGAGAGGATGTGGGGTGAGTAGTTGGAAGTAGAGGTGCTGATTTGGGTTTTTGGTCCGTGCCTGCGCTCAGCACTCAGAAGGAGGATTAGTCGTGGCTCACACTGTCAGAATAAATTAAGGCACAATGACAGCAGTATATTAGAAGTAAAATACTCTGTATTAGAGGTAAGAAGAAATATTAAAGACTTCAGTGGTTTGGATTGTTAATTGCAGGATGTGTTAATTGCAAAGCAAGCAGCACAGGCTCTTACATAAACTCCAGTGCCCGTAGCTTACATTATGAATGGCAGGAAGAGTACATGGGACATCATCGTGATGAAACCAAGGCAAACATCTAAAAACACTTAAAATACTCCTCTGGAACCATCCTCTTGTCTCTGTGGTCTCCCAGTTGGTCCCAGCCCTCTCTAAAAGCATTGCCTGGCTTTTGTCTTTTACGCTTGTATTAGTTGCTTCCAACTTTCTCATCAGCCTCATCTATAAATTCAGACTGTTCTTAAATAAGACTGGTGCCACACAAAACCACTTCTCCCGTCCCTGTGCACTGTCTAATGATTATTCCCTTATCCCTTTATATAACTGAATCAAGCCTGACACTTAAAGCACTCCCTTAAGGAAGTTATTGAATTTAACAGGGCTGAAACCAACGGGGTTCCAGAGAAATGCTCTGAAAACCTGGGCGAGAAAATATCCTTCTGATAAGTTTCTGAACCAGTATAAAATTCTGTGGCAAGAATGAAATTCTGAAGGATTTTTTTTTTACCCATAAAGGCTAATTATGAGTAAATTGCCCCCATTCTTTTATTGCTGACCCTAAAACTCAGCGGATGCTGCTATACTGCTTTGTCTTTCCCAAGCAGGAGGATGCTTTGGCTCTGTTCCTTAAGGATTTTGTTCTCATTTGGACCTCAGGTGGAATTTTGTCTAATCCAGAGCTGTGGTATAAAGTTCTGCCTTAAACTGCTCCTTGGCCTGCTTTTCCTTGTGAATCCCGTGCTTTTCCATGGCTCCAGCAGTGTTGGCTGCTTGTCCATCTCTTTCTCCCCTCTTTTTTTTGGACTTCTGAAGGAAGTTTAGCTTATTCATCCCATTTCAGCTCAAGGGAGAGAGAGAGTGGATGGGAGAGGAGAGGCAGAGGGAATACAAGACACTACGACAAGGCAAAAATAATTCTCCCAGATTTTCCAGTCCTTCTCCAGCCTTCCCAAACCAGGGCAAAGAAAACCCCAACAAATCAGCTCTCAGGACGAGATGTTTTCCATCAGACAGGCAGGATTAGGGAGTATCCAAAGTGTTGATGCTCCAAGAGATTTTTGTATTTCCTTGCCTGCTAATTCTCCCAGGAGCCTGTGCAAATAACTCTCGTGAATGAAAACTCCGGAGCTCCTCCGCTGGTATTTGCAATTCCTTTTATTCACACCGACTTTTTCTTGCTGAGATTGCTCACACAAAGGGCAAATAAATATTCAAAGTGCTCATGCCTGAAATGCTCCTGCCAATGTTATGAAAATGCTCTTTTTATTATTTTTCTTTTTTTTTTTTTTTTCTTGGTGCATTCCAACAATTTCAATTGATGAAGCTTAAAAGAAACTCTTGCGTGGAAGGGGAAGGTGACTCAATAAGGGAGGAGAAGGATCACATGGTGGTATTAATGTCATTACACACTCACCAAAGGGAAAAAAAGCCCTGGCAGTCACTGGGGACATCCGGATATTAATTGAGGAGCTGAAATGAGTTCATTTAACACTCCCTGCACAACCAGTAAACGTTTCATCCTATTGACTTGTTTGTAAGTGTGTTTTGTTTCGTGCTCTTTAACAAGAGGAGAAGTGGAGGGGAGAAAGAAAAGAAGCAGCCAAAATACTTGCTGTAAATAGTTCAGCTCGCTCTGTTCTCTGTTTTGGAGCGTGGACACGGTGCCTGTGTTTGGAGATGTGGTTCAGGCTGTGCCTTAAACTTGGCTTTTAGCTCGGTGTGATGTGATCAGAGATGACATTGAGTTCTTTCTGGGACAGGGTAGGCAAAAAAGAGCAGAAGGGAGCTGTGAAATCGTGCCTTGGCACAGCCGAGGGACCCAAGTGGCTCTTTGCATCAGCAGCACTAATGCATCTCCAGTTTAGTCCTCAGCTTCCTCTCGCAGTACCTAGAGCTGGGAAGAGCAGAACTGACTGAGGAGACCCGGGGAGCTGTCCCAAAACCATGACATCACTCAGCATCCTTTTCTGTTGGTGGACTAAAGTCCTGGGCTGCCCCAAACCGGCTGTCTAACTGGTGTCAGCTGTTTCTTGCCATCCACCCCCACGACACCAGGCACAGCTGCCTCAAGCCATCTCAGCAGAATGGCCAAGGAAACATTCACTGTGAGGAAAAAAAATAAGGCTTTTTTTTCTCTAAGTAGTAGATAGAAAGTCAGTTCCATTTCTGGAATTGTTTTAAAAATGACTCTTACTCAAAGAATCCTCTCTTTGAAGGACCCAGGGCTATAAGAGGCAACAGAGGTGTCTTGCTTTGACTTGTTTGTGAGGCTGCTGATCTTTGCAAGAAAACCCAGGGCACCCAAAATAAATCTCCCCTCTCCTATTGCACCTTCCCCTCCAGATGCTGAACACACTATCTGTCACCCCGAGGCTGGATGTGCCCTAGACCATTCACCGAGTCCCTCGGTACGGAAAGGAGGATTTAACACCTCGGCCACAGCTGGATCATCAGAGACCACCTGAGTCCCCAGTAAATCTCCACCCTGGGCTGCACCAAGAGGCACCAGGTATGTCTTTTGGGGTGCCAAAGCAGACATGAGGCAGCTGGTGGCCACCAGCACACGGCCCTGAGGTGGCAGGTCCTTCCTGCTGGGGCTGGCAGGTCCTGCCTGCGCCTTGTCCTTTCTGCTTGTCGTCAGACCGAGAGGGTTCTCTGCTCCTGGCTCCATGAAACTAATGGATTATGGCAGGTGGTGCTGGTGGTGGTGGGGGGAACAGGAAAAATGGCAGCCTGGTAAGGTCTAAAGAGACTATCTGAGTAACTTGGGGTGATCTTCCCAGCGTGACCAGTCAGGCCGGGTCTGGCAGGGCCACACCATTCCCTCATTACTGTGCCTACTGAGAACTCAGATGTCCGACCTCAACCATCAGTATTTTGTGTTTCCAAGGCAACCCCAGCTTTAACAGCCTTCATAATGACATCATTTGGTTTGAAATGAGCATGCATGATGTTTTGATTACCACTGGAAGTATAAATTAGGTTACTCTCCCCACCCCCAGCCACTTGAAAAATAAATGTACTGGAGGGAGGGGGAGATAAAAAAAAAAAATCCTGAGAAGAGGGTAAATGGAAAAATCAATTTTTACATTAATGGAGTCCTCGTTCAGCATTTCTTCTCTTTATAGATTTAGATAACAGTGATATCTTGGTTTCACAGAGCAAAGAAATTAATTACTTACTAATGGTGCAATTCAGAAATTAATTTATGTTGTCCATTTGAACGTGTCATTATTAATCAATTTAAAGGAAGAGACCTGTAAGCCAGCACCATCTGAAGTGACTTATGTTGCCAGAGGAGTCTTCCTGCCCCCTTCTTTCTAGAAAACACATCATTCCTGCTACCTGTGAGTTGTTGCACCTTGAACTGGTGAACTCTTATGGCATCTCTGATGCAATAAAAAAAGAGAATTCCTCAGGCCTGATGGAGGGGCCCATCCTTAAAGTGTTTCCCTAGGCAGGGACAAGTGTCAGGGTGCTGCAAAGATTTAAAGGCTCTTTTTGGCATTTATTTGAATTCCTGGTCTGAGGCTCAACCCTTTTTGTCCCATTAAAAAGGCAATGCACAGAAAGAGGATGCTGTCCCTGCAGGCCTTGTGGAGATGTTTTGTTGCCGAATTCCCAGCGCATCTTGGCCAAATCCTGGGGTTTAGCACACCATGTGCTCCCCAGCGGGGTCAGGATGGGGCAGCTGCCTTAGGAGGGTGATAATTAAATTGTCACAGACCTGATTATCTGCTTTGTGCTGCTGTACTTAGATGGGAAGAGGTTAATAAATTGCACGGGACTCTTCTTTTTCTGAGTAAGGCTGGTCTCAGGCTGGAAAGGGGAATCCCATATCATGCAGTAAATCATGAATGACCTAAAAAGCGCTCCTTGGAATCCTCAGGGTTTCAGGATGTCAATGGCCTTCCATAGCCAGGCTTTTCCCTGGCAGGCAGGAGCCTGATCTAATGGTTTACACTCTTTGTGTTATTAATATCTCCAAAACCTTGGATCTGCCACATATTTCTGTGTGTGCTCCTTGGGGCGAAGGGCAAGGCTGAGGACTTGGGAAGACAGTCTGTGTTCAAATCCTGTTGGGGCTGCTGGTGGAAGGCTGGGATGGCCATTCCTTTCCTGTAAACACATATTCCTGGAATCATAGAATGACTGGGTGGGAAGGGACCTTAAAAATAGCTTAGTTCCATCTCCCTGCCATGGGCAGGGACACCTTCCACCAGCCCAGGTTGCTCCAAGCCCCGTCCAACCTGGCCTTGGACACTTCCAGGGATCCAGGGGCAGCCACAGCTTCTCTGGGCAGCCTGTGCCAGGGCCTCCCCGCCCTCACAGGGAAGAATTTTTTCCCATCTAACCCTTTCCTCTGTCAGAGTGAAGCCATTCACCCTTGTCCTGTAACTCCAGGCCCTTGTAAACAGCCTCTCCCCATGTTTCTTGTCGGCTCCTTTCATATTGTCCTGTTAATTTTGGTGTTATCCCACTGTAAAACAGAGGGATGTGAAAGTCTGCAATTTGAGAGCCTTTTGTAGTATTTAAATTTATATTTATATATAGGTTATTTCTTTCCTCTTCCCCCCCCCACCTCCCCTTGAAGTACCACTCCCATTTAACATCTGCTACAGCGATAATGCTTCTTTATTAGGTCTGGAAAAGTTAAGGCACGTGCTGATGGCAAACCAAAGCCTTTATCTGGCTTAAAGGGTTTCAGATTAGTTTCATGTTCTTCCTCACTGTTTTGCTTTTTCGAGCCAATTACTGCCCTGCTGCCCACGCCAGGCACATTTCAGCCTGAAAGTTCTCTTTGTTGAACTAAAACACTTTCTCCGTCAAACGCCGAGCGACGAGGGCTGGAGAGGAGTGAGTAGCAGGTTGCAGAATTAATCAAGAAATCATTTAGCACCTGCAAATAAATACTTGTATCCAAAGGCTTTGTGGTTTGTTTGTTTGTTTGTTTGTTTTTTCCCCTCTGCTTCTCCTTTGTTCTGTATAAATTCCTGCCTTCTGAGCAGAAGGAGTGGGGAGAAGTAGCTGAGATTTCACTGTTTGGTTGGACATTGTGCTGGAGCAGGTTAGGGAGCGTCCTCACCCTCCCTTTTGGCGCCTCTGCTTGGGGGGTCACCAAATTCTGACAGCAGGAGGTAACCCAGGCTGGAACGTGGTGACAACGTCCCCCTGACTACCCTTTCCAAAGTACTCCTGTGCCTGTGGGTGAGAACAAGACTTCAGCTCCTCCTGGTTTGTGCCTTTTTGGAGCCAGAGAGAGCCAGAAGATACCGCAGCCTTTAGATCACCCCTTGAACTCCCTGAACCCATAGATAAGTGGGGGTTTTTTTTGTGATTCCTGCCATTTCTCCCACAGTCCATAAGCCATGAGATAACCTTGGCAGGGGGTTGACTGTCTGGGCTCTGGAGGGTTTGATGTAGGAGTCCAGCTTTTATTCACTGCAAAAATGAAAAGGCATTAAAACATGTTTGTATGTAGGCATTCAAAAAGCTTTTTGCTTTCTCTGATGAAGGAATTGAGAGGGAAAGATAAACCCAAGTTAAAAACCTTGACTTTCAAACGTTTAATGTTGATCAACTCCACCTAATTTTCGGAATCCTTGCCCCTTTTTTAGGATGAGAGAAGAAGAGTCTGGGGCATTGGCAGCCTGAGTTTTATTAATTTCCCTTCTCTTTCCTTCTCTCCTTGTGCAATAAGCAGAGTATACCAATATGCTGGGTATGTTATTTTCTGGTGCCCTAGACGTGCATGGAGTTGTGCCACGGTCTCTTATTTGTCTGCTGACAGCAGCTCCATGAAATGAAGCTCTGGGTCCTCAATTGCCCTGGCTGATACAACCTGTTGAATTAATTTTGGACCTTCCTCAGTCCTGAGCTGTGAGTGGATGGCTCATAAAAGCCCTTGTGGGATGAGATGTGCTGCTCTAAATCTGTCTTGTCCCCAGACTGCCACAGCACGTGGTAACTGGCCCCAAAACACACAGGAGTTACCTTCCTGCTGGAGAGCTGGATTTGGTGCCATCCCTGGCAGGGGACCACAGGCCCTCTATAACCCAAAAAGCTTCTTGTGATTCTGCAGAGTCCCTGATAAAACAACCCTGAAAGGGGGAGGTGGGGATGGTGTTTGCTTGGTCTTGCTTCTCTTTGGCTCTGTTATTTTCCTCTGCCTGGTGCAGAAGGATCTCACCCCGATTTTCTCACCTTTGTGGTACGTGCCACCAGCGGTCCCTGCCGCAGGGAAGGGAGCAGGGTGGATTGGAAGTTGAATCTCTCCTCCAGAAAAGTTCCAGAGACCCCCTTTGACCTTCTGTGTCCAGTTGGGATCCCCTTTTCCAAAACACAAGCTGTGCTGCCACCTGTAATAGAGTCTCAGGGTCCTTGTACACCTCCAGCTCTGGCAGCTGCCCCTTGTGTTGG